ATGTTGGTGCTTAAAACAGTGCATTTAATTTTAGTTATCATCTGGTTGGCCTTGCTGACTCATAGATTCTTCCACTTCAGTGGAAGTATTTGCGAAAAGGGTTGGTATCTCTGCTTCTACAAATCCAGGTGGATCTCAAACCAGGAGACAGCTGGTATCTCCTGGACAGGAACTTGGCACTATGATTTGACAAGGGTTTAAAATGTTTCTAACTCTTTAGGCATAGAGAACCATGTGAATAAGTGGACTCACCACAATCTTAGAAAATCTGTGCAGCTGCAGCATCACCAGGAAACATTTCCATGGGGAAAAGGTGAAATTTGAGAGCAAACACACTGAGGAATTCTGAACTCACCTTAAGAGTGCAAAGCAGCCAGATCCACATAGAAAGAATTTATGGCCAAATACACACTAATATATAATTCAGGTTATGGATCTACTTCACAGAGGAGTTGGGACAGGACACCCAATTCCAGCTGTTAGTTTCCCTTGGGCACAAGTGAAATTTCATCCAGTTAAGAGGAAAAGATTCCATTAGGGTTGGGTATCTGTTTCACAAGCACACAGATTCAATGTGTGGTTGCTCTCGGGATGTAATCTCATGAATGTCGAGTCTGACCTTTAGGGACGAGTGAGGCAGTCAGTTAATCAACATTAGATATGAGTGCCTAGCCTGTGCACAGGTCTACCCTGCAAATGACATGAGAATAACAGAGAATATTAAGGCAAAGGGAAAGTAATTCTTCTGCCAGATATGTGATCAGTCAACAAACATTTCTTTAACATCTGTTATGTGCAAGACTGTATCTCTGCCAAAAAGCATATGGCACAGGGGCCCTTCCAATCATGGGCTGATGACTGAGTTGAAAAGTTCAGATACATTAGTATGAACAGATAGCCAATAGTTCAAGGTGGTCTATAATCAGTGGCAAGTGATTCATATGAATATAATGACCAAGGAGTTTCAGAGGTATGAGTGAACAATTCTAACTAGGATGCTCCAGAAGGCTTTCTGGAGAAGGTATGACTTGTAATAAATAGGTGCTGTCCCTTGGACATGATTTTGACATATGAAAGAAGAGGACAAGCACGCCAGGCAAAGTAAATGGCATGAGCAAGGTCCTGAAGTAGGCAGGCCCATTGCCTATTTGGAGAAAGGTAGCAGACAACCTTGGTGGAAACAGAAAATTGTTGGGGGAGTAGCTGAAAAGAAGGGACAATGGGATCTCCGCCTTTGAAGGGATCCTGCTGCTGCTGCTGCTGCTGCTGCTAAGTCACTTCCATCATGTCCGACTCTTCACGACCCCATGGACTGCAGTCTACCAGGCTCTTCCGTCCATGGGATTTTCCAGGCAAGAGTACTGGAGTGGGTTGCCATTGCCTTCTCTGTGAAGGGATCCTAGAGATGATCAAATCCAAGTGCTGCTCACCTTACTCTCAAACAAACACAGATTTCCCTAGTGTGTCACCAATGCTTACTATGCATTTTAGTAACAGACCCAGACTTCTACTATCTACAGACACAGTACTTCTGGGAAAGTAGTTAGAGAAAAGCTCTGGATTTGCGGGTCTAGTCAAACAACTTGCTAAATGCTCATTCTTAGGAAAGTTTATTCATCCTTTATTTCTTTACCTATAAATGTGGATAATAGTGCGTGCATACTTAGTTGCACAGTCGTGTCCGACTCTTTGCAACCCCATGGACTGTAGCCCGCCAGGCTCCTCTGTTCATGGGATTCTCCAAGCAAGAATACTGGAGTGGTATCTTCTCCACCCTGGGATCAAACCTGGGTCTTCTGCATTGCAGGCGGATTCTTTACCATTTGAGCCACGAGGGAAGGCCGTGGATAATAGTATACTCACTTAAAGCAGAGGCAGGAAGAAAAGGAGAAAGAATGCTTGAAAGAGTCAGAAAAGGAAGAGGAATCTGCAAAGTGTATTGCCAAGGAAAGCAGAAGTAGAAAGAATTCAAGCAAGGCGAGCTTGTTAACAGCATGAAATGAAGCAAACAGGTCAAGGGAGCTGAGACCTGCCAAAGGGCCACTGACGGTGACAATTCAGAGGTTGCTGGTGACCTTTAAGAGATCAATTCTAGTATAAAAAGGGAGAGGCAGTTTGTAGAAAAGGGTGAGGTATGAGGGGTGGGAAGGAAGAATAGAATGTATGGTGAGGAACCAGAGCTGCAGGCACGGAATTCTCCATCATGTGTAGTGACAGAGAGGGAGAGAGAGAGTTTTGCTTCAAAGAGGTCACAGGGTTGAGTGATGTAATGGCTGCATGAGTATCTCAGCTTAGAACTGAAATGGCTGGCAGCCCCTGGCTTTCCTTCTTGCTAGGATGAAGGCAATGGTGATAAAATAAGCAGGAAGTTCCTATTCACAAAATATATTCCCTCTTCCCTTTGTCTAGAACTGCATAGGAAGAAAATACCCTTAGAAAACAATCTGCTCATTTATAATACCATAAGATTGCCAGCTGAACAATTATGAGACTCCTTGTATAGTAAAATCTCATTAATTTGGACTACACTAATTTAGAATTTGTGGTAATTTAACCCGGGCTGGAGTTACTACTGTACTATTATACTTACAAAGAAAGGGTTCACTAAGGAAATAGTGGGAAAAAGATTACAAGGGAGATAATTTAGCCTGCCAGGGGCCTAGTTCACCTATTTTTAAGAACATACTGTTTTTTTAAGAGCTTACGCATATTCATTATTTGAATGCAAATTGATTCTGCTAATTATAGATTAACATAATCTACTGCTAAAATCCTATATCTGCAACAGTTACTTCGCTCTCACTGAGTATGCTCATTAGGAATAAAACTGCGATTCTTTAAAAGTCGGTTCACAATTCAGATTAATACATACCCCTTTTTTCCACCCTCATGAGCTAACCAATGTTCTGGAGGTATTATTCTAAACCAGCACATCACTCACCATGAACACAGTGGAAAAACTAGGTGATCAAAAAAGGCGTCAGAGAAGCCAAAATAGATGTTTTAAAGTTGATGCCTTAAATCTTGTATCTCTCTCCATAGCAGGTTCTCTCACAGCTGATTTAACTCTTACTTAACATATTCATTTAACACACCAACCTGGAGATCTTGCTTTTATTTTTATTTTTTTTAAAGTTTGTAACTGATTAGGAGGAGAAAAGGGGCTGTTACAGAAGGGACAGTTAGAGAAACTAGAGATGAGTGCAGGATGCAGAAAGGAGGCAGGACGTGGATAAAATGGGGCTGATGTGCGAAAAGGTCTATATTCCTTAGTAAACTCAGAAAAGTATAATAGAGTGTTGCAGCACAGTTCAGTTCAGTTCAGTCGTTCAGTCGTGTCTGACTCTTTGCAACCCCATGGACTGCAGCAAGCCAGGCTTCCCTGTCCTTCACCAACTCCCAGAGCTTGCTCAAACTCATTTCCATCACAGTACAATGACTAATGACTGGAATTTTGGATTTAAATGATCAAGCAAAGTTTAGATTATGTTGATATATGACTTAAAAAGACAGATGTTACACATACACAATTTGTATTCACAATGTTTAACCTAAAAATGTGAAATGCATTGATGTTTAAAACAATGAAGTTCGTAATATTATCATAATAACAAAACAGCAACATTTATGAAGGGATTTATTAAGAGAGGAATTGTGTGCAGATATCAAGCTAAATAATTTATCTAATTTCATTTAACTCTACTAATAATCTTAGGAGGTTTTAGTGCCATTTTTAACATTACAGTTGAAGAAAGTGAAAGTCAGAGAGGTTAAGAAACCCACTCGCAGGCACAGACAGAGCAAGCTAGGATTACAACTCAAGCCATTTCCTTAGCTGTACACTATGTCTTTCCAAAAAAAAAAAACCCCCAAAAAACAAACAAAAAAATCACACTTTTCTCGAGGGGTCTAGATAGCTAATGATTTACTGTATTTTTGTTTTCCAAACTTGTATTGAACAAATATCTTGATTTATAAGCAGAAAGACCTATGATCTAACAGTCAGGTATGACGTTGTACGTTTGTAAACATGCTCCATTTTATAAGGCGAATGTCAAAGTAATAGTAAAAAACAGAATGAAACAAAACCCCAAACCCCATGCACATGTCTATTAGGCCTATGTTAAAATCTCAGATCAGTCTCTATGGATTACAGATACTATTTTCAAATGAATAAATAGCCAAGTAACAAAGAGATGAAATTTAAAAAAATATTTTCTCTTACTTTAATATTTTTATTAATATTTTAATATTTAATCACTTAATATTTGAAGTGATCAGTGAAGATCTGGTTCTCCCATTCCCCCCCGCCACTTGTTTTGGAGAAATATAACATGCGACTAGGTCAACAGAGCATGAACGATGGGGGAATTGCAGGGGAGGCTAAAAATTCAGTTAGCTGTTATACAGGATTTAGAACAATCTGTTCATCAGCTGTTCTCAGAGAGCTATGAGGGCATGGAACACATGCGGGCATGGTGTGTACTGGGGGAAACAGGGTGGGGTGGGGAGATGCAAATATAGGCAGTTATCCACATGAGTATAAGTGACGGTTCCTACTACTTGTACATACAAAGAAAGATGTACAGTGATATCACTCACTCATGTAATTCTTTCTGCATAAATCGAATGTTTTTTATTCATCTTTTCTTGTCTTAAGCCTATCCATTCAAGGGCCAGCTACAGATGCCATGTCTGCTTTGAAGTGTTCCATGATGCCCAAAGCTGACTGAAACTCATCCCCTGTTTGTGCTCCCATAGGTTTTCTTCCCTTTTACACATTTACCACAGCACTGACAATACTCTCTTCTATGATTAGAGTTACTCAAGTATGTGCTTTTCCCTCCCTCTGTTCCACCACGAGTTCCTCGAGGGCAGGGGCCTCGTTCTCATTTCTCTAGCTCTTACAAATCCTAGGCCAGTGCCCACCACAAACAGGCTCCGGGACAGCGCTGGCTCGGTGGCACTGGCCTAAGAGCGTGGATTATTGCCTAGCTTACCTGAAGGAGCATTTGTTCTCTTTCTTTTCTTGCTTGAATCCCCTCCATTCTCAATGAGGCCTTCTGTGACCAGAGGGCCACTGGCACTACCAAAGTGCAGGGGCTCGTTGTTGTTGGCAGGGTCAAAGGGCAGCTGGTTCAACCCTAAAGAAGAAAAAGAAAGCCAAAATCCAGACTCCATTAAGGACTGGGATGTCTCTAGGTTCTATTGTATGAGCCACGAGAGGAACGCTGTCTAGATCTTAAAAGCTTGGCGGTAAGAGGCGAATTCCTTAAAAGCCAATTAGTTGCCCTCTGCCACTTTTACAGATCTTGTTGATAAGTACAGAATTAAAATATAGGCTTTTATAAGACTGCAGCTCTGTCATTTGTAAGATCCCTCCTGTTTCTTGGAAATTAACATTTATGACCATAAAGTAACATTATGGCTATCACCTCCCTGAAAGAGATAGTGCTGGGCGCTAAGTTGCTTCAGTCATGTCCAACTCTTTGTGACCCTCTGGACTGTAGCCCCTCCAGGCTCCTCTATCCATGGGATTCCCCAGGCAAGAATACTGGAGTGAACTGCCATTCCCTCCTCCAGGGGATCTTCCTGACCCAGAGATTGAACCCACGTCTCTTACATCTCCTGCAGTGGAAGGTGGGTTCTTTACCACTAGTACCACCTGGGAAGCCTAAAGAGCTAGGACCCTCTTTAAATGTGGCTATGGATGGACCTACTCTTCCTTTGACAAGTTTGGTCACGTATTTTTTTAGATTATCTCTGGACATTTTTTTCCTTTCTTTCATTGCAAGGATTGTTGAATTGATGCAGATGTAACATTAGACTGTGTGTGTGTGCTTAGTCACTCAGTTGTGTCTGACTCTTTGTGACCCCCTGGATTGCAGCCCACCTATCCTGGTGTTAAAGTCACTGCTAACAATAATATAAGGATTTCCAAAAAAGAAAACCATAAGCAAACTAGAAAAGGAAACAAAGATATAAAACTTGAGAGGGAGTTATTTAGTAGTTGGAATGATGGGAAATTACAACCCAGGTTTGGGTAGTATTAATCCCATCCTCTTCAAATGATCTCAGAGCATGGTCACTTTACTAGTCGCTGCTGCACAATATAAAATGGCAAAAGTCATTTTTATTCCCAAGTCTTATCTGTTTCAGTCAGGGGCGAACAGAGATAGTTTCTTACTCCTCTGGCATCAGCACCTGGAATTTCAAGTGTTTCAATTAAAGCTTCATGAAATGTGGAATCAAGAGCTTTGTTAAAAATCCAAAGTTAGGTGATCTCTCCTAAGTCTTTTATCTACTAGTCCTCTAATCCTATCAAAAGAGGAATCAAGTTGGCTTGCTATGGCTCACTCTTTAACTCTCAATTTTTCTATAGCCCACAGTTGTACAATTCTTAAAGAAATGTTGTAAAATGTCAATGAAAATTTGAAATCCAGTCAGCTAAAGGTCAACCAAATTTCAGTAAAATGAATGTTAAGGTGCTAACAAAATGGCTTTACATTCTTGTTTTTAATGAAAAGTATCTCTATGCTGTTTTCAGCCCATGAAACAAATACCATTTGTTCTGCAATGAGATTCCACTCGGAACACCTCCATTAAAAAGTCTTCTGGGACTTTTCAAACATTTTCCTTTACATCATCTGAGTAGCTAAGTGAAAGAATGAAAACTTGCGTCTGTATCTTAACTCAACCATTCACTGCATCCTATCCATGTCCTATTAAATCCCTACCATGAACAGAACTAAAGAAACAAATAATTGCTATGTGGCTCAGACTGTAAAGAATCCAGCTACAATGCAGGAGACCCAGACTCAATTCCCGGGTTGGGAAGATCACCAGGACAAGGAAGTGACAACACACTCCAGTATTGCTGCCTGGAGAATGCTGTGGACAGAGAAGCCTGGCTTCTCCCTGTGGGCTACAGTCCACGGGGTTACAAAGAGTCGGACATAACTGAGCACCTAACACTAAAAAACTTTCAGATCATGACCAAGACTATTTTCAAAGAAGATTAGTTTTTATATAACTTACAAATGAATGTATTTCTTGCACTTGAATAGTCACAGAGTCCAAAAGGATTAGTGTACTATTCTAAGACTAAAACTTTTCTTGGTATTTCTTTCTGTGATATCAGGCTGATCAAAACAAGTTCCATGGAAGATAAAATATTATAGTGGAAACAATATATGCTTAGAAGCCTGAGAGATTGGGGTTCAAATCCTGGCTCTATCATTTTCTATTTGGGTGTGCTGTGCTTAGTCGCTCAGTCATGTCCAACTCTCAGCAACCACATGGACTATAGCCCATCAGGCTCATCTGTCCATGGGGATTCTCCAGAATACTGGACTGGGTTGCCATGCTCTCCTCCAGGGGATCTTCCCAATTCAGGGATCAAACCCAGGTCTCCCGCATTGTAGGCGGATTCTTTACCATCTGAGCCTCCAAGGAAGCCCATAAATACTAGAGTGTGTATGCTATCCCTTCTCCAGGAGATCTTCCAGACCCAGGAATCGAACCGGGGTTTCCTGCATTGCAGGCGGATTCTTTACCAGCTGAGCTATGAGGGAAGTCCTATCTGGGTAGCTTCTGGCAATTCATACAATTGCCCTTAGTCTTACCTTCATAATGTGTAAAAGGGGAATAATAACACTTCACAGGGCTGTTGCAAAGATAAGCAAACAGATATATATATTCTAAGTGAATTAAAACAAACTTTTCCCCGGCAAGTTTGAAGTTTGTAAGTAGCTCTTCTAAGGAGGATCTGTCTCTCTTTCTCTCCTATAGCCATATCTCTAGCATCTTGGTGCCTAGCACCATGCCTGGCACATAGTGAGTGTTGAATGAATGAATTCTCAATAAGGTGGGGTAGCTGACTCATTCTATGAACTCATGTAGTTAGAATAAAGAATTAATGACACAGCTTAAAAGTTCTGATGCTGATTATATCAATATTACTTAAAATAATTAGATTTCAAATGCATCTCCATCATTTGAATACTATACTACAGGATGGTAAAATCTTGATTGAAAGGAATGAGTGGGATTAGGAGGTTCTCATTAATAATGGTTAATCAGAAAAATTTTTTATCTTGCATTTGATAATTTCATAGAATAATATATTAGTCCATTTTTCTGCCTTATTAAGTAGATGACTGAGGATCTTACAGAGCTTCAGAGCTATGAGCTGTAAAAGGAGGCTAGTAACACTAACTCATGGGACTGTTAAAATTAAGATTACATGATGTCATGTATGTAGAATATTCTGCATCACATCTGGCATAGAGCATATGCTCAATAAATATTAACTGCTAATTTCCATTTATAATGTCTTGAATTTTTGACGTAGAATGTGAGGAGATTGGTCTGAATTTGCCCTCCAAGGATATACCTTACTTTCATCATTGAACCTGTTATTGCTGTTTGTACTGTTTTCTAAAAACTGAAGGAGTCCAAGAACAAAATCTGATGAATTAAATGTATTTAGTCATAGACATTTGACTATAATCGTTCTTCCCTTTTATTTACTCCCAGATGATAACTTTAGGGACTTAAGAATTTTGTTCCCTGTACTAATGTACAGATTTTTGTTTGGCACTGAATAAGACTGAGATTTCTAGTACTTTCTTTGTATCTACCTCATAAATGATTCAAATATATGAAAATTCTGATAATTCAGCACACCATCTCAGCCTTGTTACTTATAGAAAAAGATCTCATATCAAGAAGAGACATCCCACCCAGAAGGCTCATCCATTGAATACAAATCCACATTTTACATTATCCAAAATCCAATACTGTCTCCAAAGATTTGTAGTTCAAGAACAAGAGCTATAGACATAGCAAATTCCCATGACACTAGCGCTTCTTAGCTACTTTTACTGTACTGTTTCATTCGTCCTTTAAGTGGCATTAAATCAACCTATAAATCAGTAAATCAATAGGTACTTATAGGATCTTTTCTGTGTCATGTATATGTGATCCACTTTGAGTGTGTGTGTTAGTCTCTCAATTGTGTCCGACCCTTTGCGACCCCAAGGACTGTAGCCTGCCAGGCTCCTCCATCCATGGGATTCTTCAGGCAAGAACACTGGAGCAGGTAGCCAGCCATTCCCTTTTCCAGGGGATCTTTCCGACCCAGGGTCTCCTGCATTGCAGGTGGAGTCTTTACCGTCTGAGCCACCAGGAAAGCCCGATCCACTTTGAGAGTGCTATTTTAAATAAAATAGCCCCATTAAAACTATCTAAATTCTAGAAGGAAAACCACCACCACTTTATTTTCAAGAATTCTTATTGTGGAAATTTCAGTTATGGCTTCATCATAAAATATTAGCAATTATGTTATTTTAATTCCCACCCAAACTACAGAATTTATCTTTAAATCTCTTATGGAAGCTATTTCTACCATTTTTCTACTAGACATGATGGAACTATCTTCCTTATCTTAAGGAAGACATTAGAAAAATATTAGATTAGGAAGAATTTTTCTTTTTCTGCACCATGCAGCCCGCAGCAGTGAAAGCACAGAGTTCTAACCACTGAACCAGCAGATTTCCTAGGAAGAAACTTTTAGGGTTATCTAGTTCATCCTTCTATGCAAAGCAGGAATCTTATCTATAGAAATCCTGACAGGTCTAAGTCCAGGGAGTACTTCTTAGCCTGGGGGCCATTCCTTGCTCTGCTCTGAGGAATTCAGCTTGCTTTCCTTACCTTTTTAAAAGCTATCACTTACTCTGTTTGGAGGGTTCTTTTCATCTCTCCCAAACTGTGTGTGAAGTAGGATACATGTGTGCCTGTGTGCTGGTGTGTGCTGAGTCACTTCAGCTGTGTCCAATTCTTTGCGACCCTATGGACCATAGTCTGCCAGGCTCCTCTGTCTATGGGGATTCTCCAGGCAAGAATACTAGAGTGGGTTGCCATGCCCTCCTCCAGGGGATCTTCCCGACCCAGGAATCGAACCCTCATCTCATGTCTCCTGCATTGCAGGCAGGTTCTTTACCACTAGTGATACATTTTGTTCAATTGTTAACTTGCTTAATGCCCCTAAATGGGCATATGAGATGTCTAACTTTTTATGGACTCTACTGATAATCACTGAAAGAAAAACAAATGAAGGAGTCACCAACAATTAACAGAACAA